CAGTTGTTGCCCAGCATGTTCTCTCTCTTACGTGTTTGGTTTAAGGAAGGGGAGGAGAGATGATGGAGGAAAGAAATTTTTAACGATCCTTTATTTAGTTTAAGAATAGAAAGGAGATAATAACTAATTTACTATTATATCTCTATATATTAGTTTAAAATTTTTTAATTATTCCTTATAGAAAATAATTTTACATCTCAATTTAAATTGCATAATTTTTTTAAAAAAATTCAATGCAATCAGTCAAGGTCTAAGAGTAAAGTTCAATTTGATATAAAGAAGAATTTTTTTAACTATAAATATATTTAGAATATTAAAAAATAGATAAGGACAAAATACTTAAAAAAATGATCTCTCCTTCAAAACTCCTTAATTTAGAGAGGAGCAATATGAGGAGAGGGGAGGGGTTATTTTGACTCTCCTCACCTCCAAATTTTTTTAACCAAAAATGAGAGAAGAGGCATCTCTCCTTCAAAACCCTCAACCAAACACACACTTAGACTTTTCGTATCCAAACACGCACTCACCTTCCCACCTCTCTGATGATCTCATCAGATTTCATCACCGTCAATGAGAAACTCTCAATCATAATGTTCCTGTCAAGCTTCTACTTTGCCATCTCTACGCAAACCATACCCCGTTCCTTCCACGTCTCGTCATTGTCGAAACCTCGCTCCTATCAACTTTGCAGTGATCCAAGTCTTCCTTTTAAATTGGAAATTGGTGTGGCCCTTGGATAACCAACTGGGCACGAAATGATTAATAAATATGATGCTTCAATGTCTCAGACGTGGTGGAGACCCTTGTTCCTTACTTGTTGGATAACATAACCAAGCTTCTTCAAGGCAAAGTAGAATTACTTACCGGCGCCAAGGGCAAAGTGGAAGACCTACAGAAAAAGATGGAAAGAATCAACGGCTTCATGCAAGACAGTGAGGGCAAACGGAGCAGCCGATGCTCCACCAAATCAGAGACAACGTTTACGATACCCAGAATTATGTCGCGCAGGCTGAGAGAGAATATGGACTTTTGACGATCATGCCATGACCGTCATCAAACTTCTCAAAGAAGGGAGCTTTCGCAGTCAAGTATTGTCCATATGGACGCTATGAAAATTCTTGAACGGCAACAGGCATGTTGGATCATCGTCACCTTCCCCAAGTTCTCCGCCACCCAAGACTCACGCTCTCCTTTGCCGCAGTCGAAGCTTCCCCTCCATCATCAGAATCGGAAAACTCGAAACCATCCGCCGCACTAAGAGGAAGTGTGGTCGACGTCGTAGAGATGTTGGTCGTGGTCGTCGTGATGTTGGACGAGGGGCATTCCTCTGAGAGAAGCCATGGCCGGGGGGGGGGGGGGGGAGGGACACACACAAGGAGAGAGAGTAACAGAGATCTTGGACCTAAAAGCAGAAAATGATGGACCCCAAGATTGTTTCAGATTTAATTATTCTAATTTAAATTTAAAATATATTAAATACCGGTTCAATTTTAAATTATCTCTAAATTTTTAGGAGAGTCCAAATTATCATTTAATTTTTTATTTTATTTAAATTGAGCTTACAATTTAATATGTTATATATATGTTAATTTTTAAAAACTAAATAAATAATGATAATTTTATTGAAAACAAAATACTCTTGAAATTTTCTTAGCTCAAAAAAATTAATTCAATGCCATATTTATATTTTTATTAATTTTATTGAAAATTATATATGTATAAAAATTATTTACAAGACATAGCATAGTAATATAAATTTAAAATTATGTAATTAATTCTAAAATTACATAATATTTTAATAAAAATATAGAAATTATTGATTTTATTTTTAAAAAATTCAAGAATTTTATTTTTCAAAAATTAAAAAATTTAATAGATTAAATAATAAGAACTCAATTTGAATAAAATAAACTATGCGGATGAAATTAAAAATTTAAAAATTATGAGGGCTCCATTCTTTGAAAAAAAGAATCGTACTCAAGTGTTCCGGTAGGTTGATTTTTTTTTTTTAAATATTAGTATTAAGAAGGCTTAAATCATTTAAAATTGATACCCCACGTATCTCGTATCTCGAAGTTTTCCCCTTTAATTTAAAAAAAAAAGAGAAAAAATTTATGTTTTATGAAAAATAATAAAATAAATAAAAATAATAAAAAGCTTTATATATACAGTATAAATTTATGAATCTCAATTAATCTAATGTTGTTATTGAGAAGCTATCGTGTGCCAAATGACAAATCTATATATACATAATAGAAGAATAATTAACATTCTTTTAAAATTGATATGTATGTATATTTTTTTTTTCAAATACTGCGATTCTATGCTATTTATATTACCATCAATTTTTAAAATATTTTTTCAAAAAATAATATTAACATTATTTTTAAAAATGACAAAAATCGTTTTCTTTTACTTCAGGATATTTTCTCTCATGATCTTGACCATAGCTTCTCAATTAATTCACAATTTTTAAATTTTAATTTTAAAAATCTTTAAAATTTTTAAATATTAAAAATTTCAGTCATTATAAGTTCCTCAATTTATCTGAGTGTATAATAGAATTTATCATTCTAATAACTACCCCTTAATTCCTATTAGTTTTAATATTTTAAATTTATAGAATTTAAATTTAATTGTGAAAATTTTGAATCATGAATAACTTCCATATCCTATAATCTCTTTTCCTTAATATCATAATCCTTTTATTTTTTAATTTCAAAATTGGTTATGCATCATGTTTTAAATTATTTACATTTAATTTAATTTATTTAATTAGTATAGTAGATTTTCTCATTCTAATAACTACCCTTTAATTCTTTTTAACTTAAATATTTTAAATTTTAAATTTCTAAGATTTAGATTTAAATCCAAAATTTTTAAATCAGTAATAATTTCCACATCCCAGGATCTCTGTTATTTAATATCGTATTCTCTTTATTTTTAGATTTCAAAATTTGTGATGAAATATTTTATAATTATTTACATTTAAATTAAATTAGTTAATTGGTATAATATTTTTTATCCTAATAATTACCCCTTAATTTAACTCCCCTAATTTTTATGTCCATGTTTTTGCACATTGCTTCCATGTTCACCTCCATTGATATCTCAATTTGCAAGATGTGTCTCCTCGATACCTTTTTGAACTATCATGATGATTGTTCATCCTAACAGAATCCTTACCCAAGGAAAATATAAGGGAAAATTTTACTTAAAGATCAAAGAAGTAATATATCTTCAGGTGGGTTTTAAAGATCCACCATCGCCAGTGATCGGAGCTTTGTCGACGATGACAGCCACTAGACCTCCGTCGCTGGAGCTTCAACAGCCAATTCACTAAAAGATTTTAGACCACCAAGTCACTCAACCCATTCAATTATATAATACATAAAACTACACACACACACACATATAAAATAAACCTTGTTTTCAAACAACTTGATTATTACGTTATTTGTTAATTGTGTAACTTTATTTGTTAATACCTTAATAGAACTTATTAATTACTTAACTTTCTTTGTTAACCGTACAACTCTTGCAACATAAATAAATTACTTGTTAACCATGTAACTATACTTGTTAATATCTTAATAGGACTTATCAGTTACTTAACTCTCCTTGTTAAGTTCGTGACTCTCACAATAGAGTTACATGACTTATTAATCACGTAACTGTCGTTGTTAATATCTTAATAGGACTTATTAATTTCTTGAATTTACTTGTGAAATTCATGACTCCTTCAACTGAATTGCATTACTTTTTAATCATGTAACTTTACCTATTAATTACACAATGATATTTGTTAATTGCATAGCTTGACTAGTTAATATCATAATAAGATTTGTTTAACTCTTGTTTCGAAAAAATAACCAAATTACTTGTTAATTACAAAACTTTACCGGTTAATTCCTTAACAATACTTATTAATTATCTATTGTCACTTATTAAATGAATATATAATTTACATAAAAAATTGAGTTTGTCAAATAACGAAAGTGATGACAGTCGGAGCTCTAGCGACAGTGGCCCAGCAAACGGTGGGAGCTCTAGCAACGGAGGTCCAATGGCTACTATTGTCGACGAAGATTCAATCATCGGTGACGGTGGTTGGTGATTTTTAAAAAAAAATATTTGAATTGGGGATATTTTGATATTTTTTATTTTCAACTTATTTTTAATTTAATCCCATAGAACTGAATTGACATTTTAAAATATTTTGAAACTCACCTAAAAATATGTTGCTTTCCTTATCCTTAAATAAAATTCTCACAAAATACAAGGCATTGAGATACCAACCACATAAAGGTGATTGTATGAACATGAGGGGATTATACACTACCCTTTGTCTCCTCCACAATGCAACCTTCGTCGACCCCACTAGAAGGTAAATTAATATATGAGATTTGTTATCTCACTGTGAGTGCATTGTCAGAAATATAAAATTTCTTGATGAAGTCATGAACACCTGTTGCCTTTTTCTATTATATATTGTTAATTTAAAAATTTTTATATGTTACTCATTTTACTTGTAGATCTCTTCTTTTTCAGTGTATTGATGAAGAGTACTAAAAATTTATTTGCCTTCATATCTACATATTGTAAAAAAAAAAAAAAAAGTTCCCCTCATGTTAGAAAGTAGGCCTTGATATATAATTATATACATAAAGATTTCATTTTTTGATCAACGATGCAAGTCTTTTATTACCCTAAGTGCATTATGTTGAAAATCATTCTATTGATTTGCAACATTTCTCTCTCATACCCTTCACTTATTCTTTTTCTTCTATTTATATATGGATTATCTCTTGAGTCTTTTTTGTTATTCTCTGTCTGCATTATTTTATTTTAATCTGTAACCATTATCACATTTGGAAAACATAAAAATTTCTTTGCAAATTTTCTCTAAAAATTCTTTCTTAAGAAAGCGTTAAGTTATATAACTTCACTTTCTACACCCTGTCATATGGAGTTGAAGCCGTCTAATTAACTCTTATAAATTATTGAACTATGTTTTATCATTTCACACGTTAATAAAAATTAATTACATATGACTTATATTAAAAAAAAATACTTTCATACATACTTACTAGTTAAACTAACGACACATGAAAAACCATGCATAACGAACGCAAAAGCAAGACATGTCATCGATCTGCGAGACGTATACAACAGACTACGATTTATTTCTTCAAAAGACGTCGAGATCATAGTCCAACGATCGAAAACAAAGATACAAATATGAAGTGATCGATCTTAAAAGCGTTTGTCGACGTGGAGCTCTTGCTTGAAGAGCCTCGAAGCAGCAGGTCTATCCAAGTACCACGCGAGTTGTCCGTCCAGAGGTGAGATGAATTTAGCAGGAATCTTGCGAGGAGCCTGTGGATCAATTTCTTCATTGAGAGCAGAATAAACTGCATTAGCATTATCTTCACCAGTCACCACCATTGCTATGTAGGAACTAGAATTGATCACCGGAAGAGTCAGAGTCAGTCGCGTCTCGGTCTCGTGCACCACGTGAGTCACCCACCTGTCCCTCTCATCAAGAACAGGATTGTTGGGGATCAGAGAACCCACGCGTCCGTCTGCCTCCATGCCCAGCAACATCAGGTCGAACTTAGGATGGCCCGATGCCGCGGATCTTAAATATCCTCTTTCAGTCCACTCTCTGAGGTTCCTCGAGTAACGTTCGGCTGCTTCTTCCTTAGCTGATATGTCGTAGTCAATGGTAACAACATTTAAAGTCCCAGCCTTTTGCACCTGCGCAATAACATTCACGCTACATGTTTAGATGTATTTCACGTAATGGAACCGATGAAATTAAGCTCGATAGGTACCATGGAGAGAAATTCTTCGTAGGCGACCCTGTGGAGGATCTCGTTGGGGAAAAATCGCGTTTTCCTTAACGTATAACTCGGCAAGAACACTTCCTCTTCCACCCAAAAAAACTGCCATTTGGACCAATCTATTCTGTTGCTGTATTCAGATTTCACCAGATTGCTGAAAATCCCAACCAAATATAAAACAGTGTCATCAAACTATATATATACATTCATTATCGGAGGTGTACGCACGTCGTTTTATTGATTTAATTTTTGCAACAAAACAAAACGCAGTGACCTGAGGAATCTGATGGAAGAGGTATCGGCCAGGGCAACCGTGAAGGATCCTTTATCGTCGATGGCCTGTCGGGAGAGTTCAACGACATCATGAGCCAGAGATTCATGAAGATGCTCCCACGAGAACACTTCCACATTCTTATAAACTCTGCCATTCTCATCACTCTGCAATGCCTTCACTGTGCCAACCGACCTACTGGATTTCAGGGGTTGGTCCTGGAAATGGAATTTCTTTGTCGCTTGGGGCGGCAGAATCAGCGACGACGTCGCTGGGGACAGTACTGAGTGTGACTTTGGGACACTCAAGGGCCTGTTTTGGGTTTGTGGGATGCATAGAGAAGAAGCGAGGAAAACAGTAGGCAAGGCCATGTTTCTTAGAGTGTATGTGTTGAACGAAATATGAACACTATCGTTTTGAGCTCGAGTGGCTTGTCATCACAATGGCGTCCGTATTCATATCTCAATATTATATTCTTTTCTCGGTCTCGGAAGCAAAGAACTTCAAGAAAAGCACATTCAAATTTTGGATCTTTTGCCGCAATCACAAGCAATTTGATATGTGGAAAAACAGTTTATGCATGCTTTAGTTATCCGTTCTTCAGACATAAGCTAAGAAAAGAGTTTATCCCCTCGACTTTTTTCAAGTTGAAGTTAGATTTAGCCTCCTTGACTCTTGAGGATGCAGGGTCACTTCATTTTAATTAATTTATTGATGGTTTTAAAAGACTACGGAACTTTTCGAAATATAATATAATTATTGATAGTCTTAAAAATACCATAAAATTAAGTAATAACAAAACAAAATAGCTAGCGGGAAGTTGAAGGAAATTAAATCAAAGATTAAGAAAATCCAATAGTTTCAATTATTTTATTTAAAGAAGTATAATAATCTAACATTAGAGGAGCATATTTATTCATTTTTAGCATATATTCAAATAATTTTTTCTTGTTATGATTTTATGATTTTTTTATAAATTTATGTATTGATATTATTGATAATTTATTCAACAATTCCTGTGCGTAGGGTTTGGTGGAGGGGAGGGGAGGGGTTTAACTTTAATGAGCTTTTATTTTGTTGAAAAGGAGAGGAGGGGCATTTTAATTATTCTTGTTTTGTTTGGAGGGAAGGTAAGGCAATTATAAAATAACAAATACACCCTTATGTTATTTTACTTTTTTCTTTTATAAAAAGAACTATTTATATTAGAAATTATTTTTATATTTCTGAATCTAAATTTTTTATCTCATTTATTTATAATATTCAAGCAGGAAAGTATTTATGATAAATTATTGTAATATTTTTAAAATATTATTTGATTAATTTAAACATATTATCTCACTAATTTTACTGTACTTTTTAGTATAATATATATATATATATATATATATATGAGGGCTAGAATACAAATATGCGGTGCGCAGCTAATAGCAGGTAGTGAATAACATGTAAGAATTGGTCTCGCGTTTTTTATTTAATTGAAGCAATAATAATTTTAGATTGTAATAAAATTAACAATAAGGATTGGTTTTAGCCAAAGTTATTAATCTTTTATAATGTAGTGAATTAATATTTAAATTTTTATTAAAAAAGGTATTTGTATTTAGTACTCGAACGTGTTTTGAATAACATTACATGCCTGTTAGTAATAAGAAAATGTATTAAAGTTAATAAAAATATTTTAATCATAAAATTTATCTCCTTGCAAAAATTTTACCCCCAAATTGGAGGAGAATGATAAGAGGAGGGGAAAGAGAAAATTTGTCTCTCCCAATTTTTGCAACCAAGCAACTTTCCTTCCTTCCTTCCTATCAAAAATTCTCAACTAAATCAAACCTAAAAGATATTGATCTAAAACATACTATGTTTTAGATGGAGTTGGTATAACCATAACAAGAAATAAAAACCAATCTATCAAGCATTTAATATAAATACATTCTTGGACTTGGATTTAGGACTTATATAGTTAAGAATGTAAATGCTTGGTAAGAACAGATAACACTTTTTGTAATATAAAGCGAGGTTTCGTTTTAATTTTTAAAATATAAAAGTATGCTGGTAATAATAAATTTTCAATGGTTTTCAAGACTGATTGATTTGATATGGAAAGCCATGTGGAAGAGAGGAGTGAGAAAAGCTGCGTGAAGTCAAAAGAGGATTATCATGCTGGGGACCCACTAAGCATTTAACAAAGATAGATGGCGCATTAATGTCGAACAATGAGAAATTAAAATTGAAATGTGCAATAATAAAAATATTTAAAATCCAGTTTAGAACATTCACAAACCTTCCGCAAAAAATTTGAGGGCAGAAATTATTGTTAACACATTTATTTACCACCACAAAAATGACATGGGAAGAGATTTTTTTTTTTGAAGAAAAAGGAAAATTAATATGCACATTTTTCCCTTGAATTTAAGGGTTAAGGGATAAAAGTGTCTTAAAAATTTTTAAAAATAAGCATCGGATATTCTTATTTTTTAATTGAAGTAATGTTACTTCAAAATTTTTAAAAAAGGTGTAATGTCGCTTTATCATTAAATTTACAAAACATTGATAGTTAAATCTAATGTTTTACTTATTCTTTGCATTTGACTCTCTCTCTATCCGCTCCTTCGCTCCAATTCGTTCCCTCCCATACTTCACCGCTCACCAAGTTCTACGATGTCAACGACTTCCATGGTAGCAGTTGAAGAACCTAAAGGCAAAGACTCTATTTCAAAGAAGGATATGAGCTCTGCATGTAGGAAACACAACTTCTAAAAGAGAAAATCATCCAATTGTGCTACATTGCTTGCCCAACTAACCGTTAAAACACTATGTTTCCTGCTGCCCATTCACCATCGAAGACGATATTCCTGCTTTCCCCAGCGCTCTACTGCTTCTTCAATGGCGATTTCCTCCTCTACACCCAGCCCAAACAATTGTGTCAAAATCAGAAGTGAATGCCAAATATTTGTACATGCTCGATTGACGACATTCATTATCACCTTCCTCATTTTGATGCCTTAAAATTGAAGGACCAGCTTGATGACGTCAATGATAGCAATGCCAATTATCATTTTGATGACGTCAAGGATGAGATAGATGGGTCTCAATCTAGTGATGGTGATATGGGTGGTTGCGATGGGGATGACTACAAGGATATGGGTTATTATGATAGGTATGATTTGGACGATGAGCTCATTTCATGGTCTGTGAACACTAAATTTGGGAGGCAGAGGATGAGGAAAAGCACATTTTTGAACATGAAAAATTCCAAGAAGTCACTTTATCTATTTATAATGCCTGGGTGTGTTCATGGCAAGCATGGGCAAGGTCTTAAGCACAATTACTAGCTTTTAAGCACAAGATATTTAGAGACTCATATTCAAGAAACAGTCTTAAATTGGGGTTTAGTTGTGATTGATCCATAGGATAAAAAAGCACATCTAGTCTCCGGTCTTCTTCCTACATATTCTCCTCATCACCATCGATATGCTCAACCTTAAATCTCAAATCTCAGACAAACCAACAATGCCATGCTCAACCTCACCCATTGTTGACCTTAGATCTTAAATCTCAGACTTATTGAAGTTGTCGGTGAGCCTTAGGTGTTCTAATGGACCAAGATTTAAGGTTTGGTATCTGTTTGATTCTGTTCTTTAACTCTCTCCAAGTTTCCCCTTTTTTTCCAGATCTTTATGACCTCAACATGATGTCACACCAGAAGCAAGCCAAAAAAGCATACTGCCAAGCATGAATTCGACAACTAAGCATGACAAGAGAGAGGAAGGAGAGAAGGATGAGGGAGAGAGAGACACAATGTCCATGTATGCAAGTTTTTGTTTTCACATGAGAGTGTGAAAATAGTTAATTATTACTTGAAACCATAATTAGCTAATCCTTTCTTTTCATTAAGCAACTTAGGTTCCTTATGATACATTTACCCCTTTCTATCACTTCAACCAATCCTAATACACCCCTTTCACAACTTCACCCTTATTTCTCTTTTAGTTTAGAGCTAATTTAAGTTATAACTTCAAAGTTTTATTATTTAATTCTAAACTAATCGCAAAATCTTAAATTAATTCTGGAGAACATTTTCATTATCAAAGGGTAAGAAATAAATCCCTTAGAAATTTTCGATTCAATTTCTTTATAATTTATACTAAAAGACATTGGTGTAGAATCAAATCTAAGAGCGGTACAAAACTTATCCGGTAAGCTATTGGTCAAAAACTTCTCCCAAGCTTCTAAGAATTTATGCCCTAGTAGATACTTAGCTTCCTCTCTTCTCCTTTCGTGCTTCTCTTCCTTTTCTCCTCAAAAATTCATGAGCTTCCACATCTTCATTACTCAAATTTTTGTGCCATGCCCCACAATGCAGCATAAGCAGCACTATTCGTGGCATGTGATATAGTGAGAAAACTCTTTACCATGCACATCTATTTTACTTTGAAATACAATCTTTTCACCCATATCTACTCATCCAAGATGTCAAGGAATCAAATTACTACATTGTCATCCAAGATTCTAATTTCTCACTAATTACTAATTTACTCTTGACTAGCAATTTCAAACTTAAGAAATCATGATGTTACACATAACCTTCCTCAACTTCTATACCACCTAGGACTCTTACTTTCTATAACACCTTAAAACATTCTTCCAATTTTTTAGCTTAACTATGGTAGAATAGAGTTTACCATGATAAATAAAAGATAACTAATTCCTTTTAAAATAATTTGTAAATTTGAAAGTACTACCATGATAGAAAAGAGTGAAACATAAATCATAGAATATAAACTAATTTTTAAAAATGACTACTATGGTAACTAGAATTTAGCTTGTTAAACATACACTTTTAAGAGTTAGGATCCCAAGTATTTATAAATAAGAATAAGTGTGAAAGGTCCATGTGAACTAATCCCGTATATAATCTAAAACCATACAAAAAATAAAATAGGAATTTAGAAGCTATTATACATTATAGAAACTTCTGTCCACTTTATAGCCAATCAGATAATACATAGCAATTATCTTTGCTACTTATGCACAATAAAAACTATAGTTAAATTACAACTACCCAACATAATTTATATAGAGAAAATTAATATAAATTCATCTAACATTTGGCTTTAGTTTACACAATACAATATCTTTATAAGATTGTCCTCCCACATGCCATATAAGCCAAAATATCACTTTCTCACACTTATGCTCCTTACAAATACAAACCAAAGCCAAAATCTATAAATAGACCAATTGGTCAAATTCAACAAATAAATCAAAACGCATTGCCCAAATCATGCCCTTTTCAGAACATCCAACCTTATCAAATATCATTAATGCCTCAATAAATGCAAAGATATTTTTTAACAATACATGGTTTACAGTTATCCCAAACATACAACTAGTATAAACTATTTAA